AAGAACAGGAATAGACGTGTAGTCACACCTACTAACCCCAGAGTTGATAAACCTGAGAGTGTTAAAGTATCCGAGGAGGAACCCATGCAATTAGGGGTTGCCAAACTCTCAGATACTGAAAAACTACTTAGAAGAAGGAACGGACTCTGCCTATACTGTGGTAGGCGAGATCATATGGTAAAGGAATGCCCTTTGCTTCCGGAAAACTCTCGCACCTAAGACCTTATAGGGGACTGGCCTTGGGTGTGATATCTAAGTCTCCTAAATTGCCTCCTAACCGTTTGCTTCTCCCTGTTACCCTTCATACGGGAGAGAGTTGTATAGCTGAAAGCATACTAGCCTTGGTTTATTCCGGGGCTGCTGAGAACTTCATTGACTCTGAGTTTGTTACGAAAAATAACATTCCCGTCAGAGAGAGGCAGATACCCTTGGCCATTGAGGCCATAGATGGTAGACCTTTAAATACTCCAGTAGTTACCCATGAAACTGTACCATTATTCATGTACACAGGGGTTTTACACCTTGAGACCATTCGGTTTCAGGTTATCACCTCTCCCTCTTCTCATATCGTGTTAGGATACCCATGGTTATGTTCTCACAATCCCATTTTTGACTGGGAATTGGGGCAATTAAAATCATGGGGTAAAACCTGCCACGACTCTTGTATGAGTAAAGTTACCCCTTTAAATACCATTAATGTTCCTACTACTCCTCCTTTATCTACTGTTATACCTCCTCAGTACTTGTTTCTCAAAACTGTATTCGATAAAAGGGAAGCTGATAACTTACTGCCTCACAGATCCTATGATTGTGCTATCGAATTATTGCCTGGCACTATACCTCCTAAGGGCAGGGTGTACCCTTTATCTATTCAAGAAAACCGTATCATGGAGGAGTATGTTAAAGAATCACTAGAAAAAGGGTTCAGTAGGAGATCCTCTTCTCCGGCTGGAGCAGGGTTTTTCTTCGTATCTAAGAAAGAGGGTGATTTAAGACCGTGCATTGACTATAGAGGTCTAAACAAAATCACTATCAAAAATGCATATCCTATACCTTTAATTACATAGTTATTTGACAGGCTGAAACATGCTACTGTGTTCACCAAATTGGACCTTAGAGGTGCATACAATTTAATACGCATAAAGGAAGGTCACGAATGGAAGACTGCATTCAACACTAGGTCCGGTCATTACGAGTACACTGTTATGCCATTTGGTCTTTGCAATGCCCCAGCAGTATTTCAGGAATTTATTAATGACGTCCTAAGAGACTTTATTCACACATTTGTAATTGTATACTTGGACGACATATTGATATATTCTACAGATTTACACACTCATCACAGACATGTCACAACGGTTCTGAAGACCCTTCTTACTAATGGTCTTTATTGTAAACTAGAGAAATGTTTATTTGACCAGTCCGAAGTCCAGTTCTTGGGGTATTTGATTTCCGCCAAAGGGTTTCGTATGGATCCCCAGAAGCTTTCTGCTGTCATAGAGTGGCCTCTACCACAGGGCTTGAAAGCAATTCAACGTTTTCTTGGTTTCTCTAACTATTATAGACGCTTTATTAAGGGTTTTTCTTCTATTGTAGCACCTATCACCCGTATGACAAAAAAGGGTGGTAATACTCGTGTCTGGTCTCCCGAGGCACTTCAGGCTTTCGACTTTCTTAAAACTACATTTGCCTCTGCACCTATTTTACAGCACCCTATCCCCTCACTGCCTTATATTCTTGAAGTTGATGCTTCTGAAATCGGGGTAGGTGCTGTTTTGTCCCAAAGAGAATCGCCTGAAAGGCCATTGCATCCTTGTGGCTTCTTTTCTAGACAAATGTCCAAAGCTGAAATGAATTATGATGTGGGTAATCGTGAACTCCTTGCTATTATCTTAGCTCTTAAAGAATGGAGACACTTGTTAGAAGGAACTAAGGATCCTATCCTCATTTTTACAGATCACAAGAATCTATCCTACCTTGGTGAAGCTAAAAGATTATCTTCTAGGCAGGCTAGATGGTCACTATTTTTGTCCCGTTTCAATTATATTATCACCTATAGGCCAGGTGATCGCAACATTAAAGCAGATGCTCTGTCCAGACAGTTCGAAACTACTGACAAACAGGAGGTTGATGTTACTCCTGTCATTCCCCAGACAGGATAATAGCCACTACTATGTTGTCTATTTCTTCATCCCTCTTGCAGACCATACAGGCGAAACAAAGTATGGCACCTAGCGAGAGGCCTATTGATAAATTGTTTGTTGATGTTCCAGAGAGACGGGAGATTCTGTCATTATATCATGATACTAAGACTGCTGGACATCCTGGTATTACCAAAATGATGTCAGCAGTTTCTCGATATTTTTGGTGGGGTTCCTTACGCAAGGATGTCACTGACTATATAAGTGCTTGTACTACTTGTGCATGTATGAAAACATCTCGTAGAGTTCCTTGTGGGCTTCTGCATCCCTTACCAGTTCCCGAGAGACCTTGGTCTAACCTATCCATGGATTTTATTGTTGAATTACCCCCTTCGAATGGTAACACAGTCATCCTGATGATAGTAGATCGGTTTTCCAAGATGGCTCACTTTGTGTCTCTTCGCAAGTTGCCCACATCCAAGGAACTGGCTCTTGTCTTTGCTAGAGAAGTATTTCGGTTACATGGTATTCCTGTATCTATCGTGTCCGATAGGGGTAGCCAATTTATTTCCAGGTTCTGGAAAGCCTTTTGCTCAGAAATGGGTATTTCTCTCTCATTTTCTTCCGCTTACCATCCCCAGTCTAATGGAGCTGCTGAACGTGCCAACCAGTCTCTGGAGCAGTACCTTCGTTGTTTTGTGTCTCACCATCAGGACAATTGGTCTGACCTGCTTCCTTGGGCTGAGTTTGCTCGGAACAATGCCACTCATGATTCTTCCGGCAAAAGCCCTTTTTACGTTGTCTATGGCCAGCATCCAGTTGTTCTTCCGGCTGCATTCTCCTCACAGGGCATGCCAGTTCTGGATGAGCATTTGGCTCGTTTGCGTAATACTTGGGAGCAGGTTCAGCGTTCTTTGGTGGATTCCGCTGCTCGCCAGAAGGCTCAGGCTGACAAGCATCGCAGGGTAGCTCCTACTTATGTTGTGGGGGACAGGGTTTTGCTTTCCACGCAGAATATTCGCCTGCGGGTGCCTTCTATGAAATTGGCTCCCCGTTTCATAGGTCCTTATCGTGTACTGCATAAGGTTAATCCTGTTTCATACGCCTTGGGTCTTCCTAGGAATCTGTGTATTCCTAATGTATTTCACACCTCGTTGTTGAAGCCTTACGTACGCAACCGCTATACCCGGCATTCCCCGCCTCCACCTCCTGTCTCTGTGGAGGGTCATGAGGAATTCGAAGTCTCTGCTGTTCTTGACTCTCGTTACCTTAGGGGTCGACTTCAGTACTTGGTGCATTGGAAGGGTTATGGGCCTGAGGAGCGCAGTTGGATTTCAGCTGATGCTGTTCACGCTCCCCGCCTTGTGCGTTCTTACCATTCTCGTTTTCCTGCCAGGCCTGGCCCTACCCGCCCGGAGGGCGTGTCCTCAGGGGGGGGTACTGTAGCGTTACTCACCTTCTCCAGGGGCCGGCCGCGGTCCTCTCTTCGAGCCGCGCGCGGTCCTGCTGCTGCACGAGCCGCGCGCGGCTCATCCGACGGCCTCAGCAGGAAGGCGGGCAGTGACCGCGAGAAGCGGTCACGTGTCCCGCCTGAATCTAAGAGCGCGCCGCGAGTCTCGGGCGCGCTCTTAAAGAGACTGTGGGAGCCTAAATTGTTAAAAGGCTCCCTGTAGCGTTACTCACCTTCTCCAGGGGCCGGCCGCGGTCCTCTCTTCGAGCCGCGCGCGGTCCTGCTGCTGCACGAGCCGCGCGCGGCTCATCCGACGGCCTCAGCAGGAAGGCGGGCAGTGACCGCGAGAAGCGGTCACGTGTCCCGCCTGAATCTAAGAGCGCGCCGCGAGTCTCGGGCGCGCTCTTAAAGAGACAGTGGGAGCCTAAATTGTTAAAAGGCTCCCATTGGCCCCTGTGATGCCACACTCCCCATACACTTACCTTTTGGGGGTGTGGATATGACAGGAGCCAATCACATTAGTTTAGAAGCTATATATACTTACCTCTCCCTTTACTCCCTGCCCTATCGTGGTTTCTGTATCAGTTCCCTTTAGCGCTTGTTGTGTTCAGTTGTGTTTCTCCGTTTTGACTTTGGCTTTGTTTCTGACTACGTTTTCTCTTTATCCTTATCTGTTCTGGTTGTCGGCTTGCTGTTTACTGTGTACCAGACCCCGGCTTGTCCTAGTTTACGCTGTCTCTCTGTGTCCTTGACTTCGGATCGTCCCTGACTCTGCCTCCTCTCATATACATCGAGTCCGGCCATTCTAAGGTCCGGTAGACGTATTTCTTCTCTGTGTTGTCTTCTGTTTAGCCGAATCCTGCGTGTTGGGGTATATTCTCGTTACAGTTATAGACAGCACTACTATTTGCCTTTTGTTAGTTTGCTATGTTACACAGGTTTAGGCCTAACTAGATACAGTTGAATTACACCCATCAGTGGAGTACTAAACTGATGCATCCAGGGTACTGCGGTATACCTTCGCAACCATACTAGCTTATCAAGGAACAGCGGCATATCTTATCTACATACACGATTAATCCAGCTGCACACTTTATTTTCTGACCAGATAGGCATAATTTAAATAAGTGGTAATATGCAAAGATTGCAGCTGTCCCACAGGTTCAGGCCTAGCTAGACGCGGTCAAACTGCACCCACCTAAGATTTATTAAACCGACTCACGCTGCCTGACCGTCATATCACACTAGCTGTATCTGCCTCGTACAGCTGCGTGAGATCATGCTCAGCCACCGCCGGAGCGAAATAGGTGCATAAGACTCAAACCGCTGTTATAAGGTAAATGACCATGAAGCTTAACATTCAAGTGAAGCCAGCCTGGTGTGTAGCATTAGCTCAGTACATGCAGTTTATGCTGTAATGCTTATAAGTGTATCCCTGCAAAGTTCAAGTACGCCTATATGTTTTGATCAATACGCCTCTGCGCAGGCGATAATCTGCATTTATTCCTATGTGCTAACATTCAAGCCTCTACGTAGGCGACCTTTCACCTTAATGAATGCTATAAATTACTGCTTAAGCCCCTGCGTGGGCAACCTCTTGCTTTATTACGAACCAGTTTGCAATATGCACTTATATTGTGAAAACAATAAAAAATATTCAAAACAAAGGCAGACTGTGATTTCACTTTTTAGAAATGGAATGTTCACAGTGTATTATAGTCTGCTTATATGACAACTATATTTAATTTAAAAAAACAACTTTGCTTTTTATTTTCAACTTTTATTTTAATGTTAATTCGTCCCTCCGGTAATTTTTATTGTATAACACAGCTTAAAATTAACACCAATCTGCCCGCCAACAAAAATTCTCAAATGCCTTCTTTTCTATTAACGATGGTATTCTGGGTCTATCTGGAGGAGTTATAACAGGCGCTTCTGAGGTAAATATTTCATCAAAATTGCTGACATCTTCGGGTCCATTAATGACTAGTACAAATGGAGGTATCACATTTTGTAATAACAATGCAGCCCAATCTAAATGCTGGAAAGGAATGTGGAAAGGAAGATAAACAACAGTAGAACAACAATATAAAATACAAAATAACAATCAATATGCCCATAAATTTACATTTTGTACATATCCCAATGGGATTCTCAAAACCGATTCTCAGACTACCTTAAAGGAATAGTCCAATCACCATAACCACTACATCTGTGTGATGTACGCAGTGTGTGCATGGAGGTGCTCATTGGCTAAGAGTCCTCAGATAAAACTCTCAGCCAATGAGAAAGCCCAGGATCAATGCCCAGCGGACCCCAGGAATGTGTTTGAAGATACATTCATTAAATCTGACAGGTCACTTTTACAAGCGAGGGTTTGTGAGCTGGTGGGATGGCAATCTGTTAAAGTGACAGTATCCCTGTTAGATTTGGTGAGATTTTCTCTATTCCTGGCCCAGTAAGTGATGGTGACATGTTTCTGAAGGTAAAGTTTGCTGTACAGAAAGTCAGAACATACTGCTGTTGCGGATTCTGGGTAATCAGAGCTGGGTATGGTTTTATTGTGATTCCATGAATGGATGTAAATGCTTGAACTCATAGGACATTTTTAACCTATAATCTTGATTTGGCTTCCCTCCTAAAGGACAATTCTACTTTAAAGAGGCTCTGCCATATTTTGCAAAGACCACCAATGGCCTTTTCTAAAGTTTTGTCAAACTTGACCACTTGACCATAACACAAAGTATTCCCTACATTTATTATTTTATCTTTTGAATGTGAATTTCAGTGCAGTCAATACGAGTATCTTACATCTTAAAGATTTTATCTTTTCAAAATGCTCACAAGTTTGTAGCGACTAAGCCACTTTAAGTGAAAACAACAAAAAAAGTACTTACTTCAAAAAAAGGATGGATCTTCACTTCTTCTGCATCTTTCTCATTGCATCCTAGACGGGCGTCATCTGTTTTAGTCAGGAACTGTAAAAGGAATTTTTTAAAGTAGGAATTGTTCATTTTAATGTGAAACATCAGAATTGCATGCATTTTCCTTTTGGGTAGTGTAACGGATAACTAAATCACTCATGCAGAGGTCAATTAATAATAGATACCATGTCACTTTGTCCTGGTGCCCAGACATTGTCCTGCCCTGACTGCTGGCATGATTCGTGTTACTATTTGCTGTTAATTTTATGATATCCAAAAAAGCAATTCAGGTGTGGATTTGGGGAGGGGTGGGCACAGTTGCAAGTGTTCCCCCCATAAGCAGCAAGCCAAGTATCAGATTCATTGCCGGAGAATCACAATGTATGTAAGTTACCACCCATTTCTTTATTGATATTATCCTTTTATGTTTGAGGCCAGCAAAGTGATGTATGATGGGAACTGAGAGAAAATATAAGATAAACAGAGATCAATGGATACATACAGATGAAAAAACAGGACATAGGTGAGCAGGGCTGTGATCAGGGGGTGACAACCATGACGGTTGTCACAGGCCCGGCACCCACGTGTTGCGGCGGAACTGGGGCACGCTGATGGGGCCCATCGGGTGGCCCATGCACTTAGGGCCACCCCGATGGGCCCTATTTCTTCAGGGGCCCCGTCAGCGCTGTAGCCGTGTAATAGCGCGACTGGGCCCCTTTACAAATAATTGCAGCCACAATGCAAGTGCTGCTGGGAGTAAGTGACAACCGGTCACTTCCTCCCAGCTCACTCGGTGCGGGAGGAGAGTCAGCGTGGAGGCCTTGAAGAGGGAGAGCCATGCCAACTCCCATCAGCCCCAGCCACCCTCCTGCAAAGAAAAGGTAACAGGAGGGTGGCTGAAAAATGAGCTGTGTGTGTCAGTCAGTCTGTCGGTATGCATGTCTGTCAGTGTGTGTCTGTATGTCCTTATGCATGTTAGTATCTGTCTGTGTGTCACTATGTATGCCTGTGTGTATGTCTCAGTATGTGTGTGTCAGTATGTATGTCTGTATCTTTGTGGATCTGTGCGTGTGTATTCCTGTAGGTGGGATTTGGGGGCGGTCCCTGTGGGCAGGCTTGGAGGCGGGCCCCTAGGGGCCCAGAGCTGAGTTAGAGGCCCCAAAACTTCTGATGGCAGCCCTGTAGGTGGGCAAAGTGGCACAGTTACAATAACATTTCGAAGAAGTGACGGGACAGTGATATAGAGGAAGGAAAGTGGAACAAGAGTTTGGGTTGTTGATATGGTGAGAGTCACATGGACAGAAAGTGAAAGGGGCAAGTTTCATGGAGGGAAGGATTAATATGGTATCTGACATGGGCATGGATACAATGGTTTGGGCAAGTGAAGTGAATGAAAAAGTCAGTTTGCAAATCTTAGGCCAAAATAGAATTGAGAAATTTGCATGGCCAATTGAATACTATTGTAAAAAACAACAACAACAAAAAAAACCCTGATACATTCCCACTTCAAAAGATCTCCTGAACATCCATTCTTTTCTACACATTGTACAGAATTTCTATGGCTGAACTCCCACTCATCAATGGTGAATGTAGCCCATGGAACAGTGTAGCTAAGGGTAGTGGGCCTTGACAGAGCTAGGTGGCAGGCATATGCAGAAGTGGGGTTTATTAGTTAGGGGTTGTAGGGGCGGGGCTTCATTTGAAGTCAGTTATTAATAACGGACATTTTAGATTAGGGGCCATTTTAATTAGTCATACTTACCTGTTGTTGTCCCACCCTCCCTCCCTTAAAAGTTGGGTTATGGTAGTTCTTCCTTTATCCCGTTGGGTCACGGCGGCGGGGGCTGGATAAGATATTGGGGGGTAGTTAGTTTTTGGTAGCTGTGGTGTTTGGATGTTTGGTAACAATATTCACATGATTGAATTTGTTAATTGGTAGGTTGGAGCCCGTAGGTGGTTCTCATCCTGGTGGGTGTAGGGGTATCTCGGTATACCTCTACAATGTTAAATCACTTGGAGTATAAGGCCTGTTGTGGCCGTGTTTTGTTATTCATATCTTGTTATATGGATTATTGTTAGATTATGTTATGGGTCATTGCCAGTGGGTATAGTACTGTTAAAGTTGGGGTAAATTATGTGTCTATGTGAAAATTGGGAATGTTTGGCAATGACCCATTTTGTTATTTATATATTTTATTAAAGCTGTGATATTTTATCCACTTTAAATTGGTGTCCGTGTCTTTTTGGGGGGTTCAAAGGTTATGGTTTAGGACATATGCACAAAAGGACGACTATGTGCATGTCAAGGATGTTTTGAGCTTGGGTTGTATGATATATTAAATTAGCATGTCAACTTACCTTACTTATTATTGAAGTGGCTTCGCTAGACAAAGACTTTGGGATTTTCAATTTACATTTGATAATTTTAGCATATAACACCTCAACATCATGGCTTTCGAAGGGGAACTAAAGAAAAAAAACACATTAAAAAAGCAAAACTCAGTTTAAGTTCGTATACGTTGTAAAATGCAGAAGTGTACTGCTGAGCAATACTAATTAGTTTAGGGCTTTTGTAACGCTAGTAATACAGATGACACAATATGCATATCAGAATGCATTAAAGGTGTGTTGTGAGAGTGTATAAAGTACGACATGTACAAGAGAACTGAACACTGTTATTATAGACAATATCAGGCAAACCAGGGAGAGGGACTGTCATGATTCTGAGCAGGTCAGAGAGGAGACTTATGCCGGGGTTCACTTCAGGAACTTTATTTATTAGACATGGTTTGACAAGAAATAAGAGTAGAAAGGCAAGAGGGAGAATGGAATAATTAATATAGAAAAACTGAGAAGGTAGAACCTATAAACGGAGTTACAGGTAAGAATATTAAGCAATAAGCCCCAAGCAGGATTATATAGTAACGGGAAAACCTAAGAGAATTTATAGGTTAGAGTTAATAAAAGGAACAGAAGTGAAGGTTTAAGGTAACAGGTAACAGGGATACAATTAGATAAAACTAAACAGGAACATAAAGGATAAAGTAAAACAGGTTCAAGGACCACTATAGGCACCCAGACCACTTCAACTCCATGAAATGGTCTGGGTGCCAGGTCCATCTAGGGTTAACTCTGCCTGTTGTAAACATAGCAGTTTCAGAGAAACTGCTATGTTTACACTAGGGTTAATCCAGCCTCAAGTGGCTGTCTCATTGACAGCCGCTAGAGTAGACGCGGGACGTCCATAGGAAAGCATTGAGAAATGCTTTCCTATGGACTGATTGAATGCGCGCGTGGCTCTTGCCGCGCATGCGCATTCAGCGCTGACGTCGGAAGAGGGAGGAGAGTTCCCCAGAGCTGAGGTCATAATGCAAGGGGGGAAGCCAAAAAAATCTATAACCGGGGCTCTATGTATATTAGTTCTGCCACTGATTAAATAATTTCTACATAAATTAGATAATCAGAAAGAATGGCCATGAGTCGAAGTGATAAAACAAAACAGAATAATATAGCATGTTTATGAAGAATGGTGTTATGTTAAAAACCAATACATGACAAAATCTCTTAAAATTTTCAAAGCAGAAATCTGTCAATAAATACTTCAGATTGTTCTTACATTTCCAGTTAGCATTACATAAATCACTACTCCAAGGCTCCACCAATCCACAGATCTTGTATATGTGTTGTGCATGACGATTTCTGGAGCCATATATGCAGGTGTTCCACAGATGCTGTTGGTTCTATCTCCAAATCCAATTCCTCAGAAATAGAGAAAATATAATTGTATATAAGTTGAAGATAGATGTTTAGTTATAGATATTTACATTTTGGGTATGACTTTCAGTTAAATGGCTGCCGTAACTTCAAATATCATTTTCACGCGAATTTGGATTTATAGGAAACAACAATTACAGGGTGCGCCAAGAACAAAGTAAATAAATAAAATGGATAATAGAAAAAAAAAATACCAGGGAAACAGGCAAACTAAAGTCTCTAATTCACAGGTATATTCTTCTTAAATTCTCAGGACGTCTTGGGTCAAGTTCTCATCAGCATATATGAAAGAGAAAAAAAAAACATACAGAGGGGACCAATGGTGCAGTAACGTAAAGGAGTATGGCTACAGACAACAGTGAGATTAAGAAATGCCAACTCACATTTGTGGGAGCTATAACCAGCTCGAGTAAAACAGCATACAGTGGTATTTAAACTCCCCACATGTAGGATATTCCTCTCACAAGATTTTCAGTGCAGGTTATATGAAATAAAAACACAGGAGAAGGCCCATAGTGCTCTCTATATTTAAAAAGTGCTGGATAAAATAAGAGATGTACTTACAATTTACAGAGCAGACAAACCGCTCTGTGTAAAGCGACTGGGTGGTACGATCCCCACCATGGATTCTTTGGATGGTATAAAAGCTTCAGATATTTAGGATATGCCAGGTAAAAAAATAAGGATAAATATAAAAGTATTTAAAATAGTCAGAAAAAATACTTTTATCTAGAGTAAAACACAACGCATTTCGCCACAAAAGGCTTCGTCAAGTGTACATAATGTTAACCTGGCACATGTGGGTTTATATAAGGTCCAAACAATCATCAAATTGAAAATGGTGTCTTATTTGACCTTTGACCCTAAATGAGGTCTCATGGCATGTTTCAAAGGTCAAAGGACATATAAACAGGAAGTAGAAAAACTAAAAACAATAAAAACAATGTTACATAGTTGACTGGGCAAATTTACATTTGAGTTGGAAAGACAGGTCAGCGGACTTGTGCACCACCAGCAGAATACACCCAACCCCTGAGGGCTGAGGGGGTTATAAATATTATATATATGCTGATGAGAACTTGACCCAAGACGTCCTGAGAATTTAAGAAGAATATACCTGTGAATTAGAGACTTTATTTTGCCTGTTTTCCTGGTATTTTTTTTTTCCTATTATCCATTTTATTTATTTACTTTGTTCTTGGCGCACCCTGTAATTGTTGTTTCCTGTTTTTCCAGTCCTTTGAAGAGTTTTGAGGGTTACCCTTCCTTTCAGGTGTGCAGCCGCCCCCTCCCCGTTGTGATCAGTTTGGATAGCGCTGTTCCATCCCTCTTATTTTTTTCTTGAATTTGGATTTATACCAATAATGCAAAAGTGAAAATTGACATTATCGCAGAGGCAGAATTGGGGCTGAGCTTTGGCTGTCAGGAGAATACTCAAATTTAATTTGACAAAAAAACAGAAGTACTTCCAGAAATTCGCAGACACTTTAATCTTTATTGAACAATGCTAAGGCATTAGTTCATGGCTGATGATTGGTGGCATGTGCTTCTGTAGCGAATCTAATCTTTTCATTGAATTTGCTGAGTTTCTAAGTTTTAAAGCAAGCGTTCCTGGACCAAGATGTAACTGAGCCAAAGACGGGGTTTAATCCTATTCAGTACTGAATTATGGAGCTTGAATTCTCTCCATAAACCTTTATACAGCAGGAGTTTATGGCTGTGTGTGATCTGTATGTGGTGTGTGCTGGCTGTGTGTGATATGTATGTGATATGTATGAGTTTACGGCTGTTTGTAATATGTTCATTTGTGTATCTGACACAGACAGCCTAGCACTAGTGGAGAGGTGAGTAAAAAGGTTTTATTTTAAAAGGAGGCCCATATAATCTAAAAGTGCACAGGGACAATTTAAATTAAAATTGAATACATTTACTTTTACTGTTAGAGTTACTTTATGTCTATTTTGGAATAGAGCACACATTTTATATGTTAAATGGCTGCTTCTTTGAACTTGGTAAGTATGACCTTTATGACCTTTATGACCTTTATTTTTTTTAAATCTAAAATATTAGAAAATGATATTTACCTTCTTTAGAAAGGCCATAGTCTGTAATTTTTGCAAATCCCTTTTCGTCTAGCACTATATTTTCAACCTTCAAGTCCCTAGATTAAAATGTAAAAATGTGTGTTTTATTTGTATTACATAACATTAGAGGCCCTTAGTATAGGTTTCACAGTTTAGACTTTTTAAATGGTTGCATTGAATAACTTAATCTAGATAAAGAACCTGAGTTAAACAGACGATGTGCCATAAATAACACAAATATAACCAACACTCCATGTTTTTTGTTTTCTATAAACTTACCTGTGGATGATCTTTTGTTCGTGAAGATATTCCAATCCAAGGACAACACATGCGGAATAAAACCTGGGAAGAACAAATAAATCAGTTGCTTTCTAGAAGATGCAGAGTTTGTACTATTAAATAACATTATTCCATAAATCCTAAGTCACTCTGTGCTCCAAAATAGTATATTAATATCCATGTTTCCTTCTTTCTCGCTGCTGGTTGGTTGTTATTTATAAGCTGATACAATGGTGACTGGCCAAAGTTAGCGTTCATATTTGTTTTTGTTTGAAAAATGCAAAAAACTAATATTTGGCCAGTGTTTGTGACTATTTGGCTACTAAAAAAGACTGGACATACCCCACTTGCAATACCTTGGGTTGCCTACTTTTGCAAATGGTATGCCATCATGGGGGTAATTCTCATTCATGGGCTACCAGTTAATGTGAAAAAAATTAAATGCAAGCCTTATCTTTGAGACCTATCACATGGCCCCCGGGGGCCTGATTTTCCAGGGGAGGGCAGCCTGGGCTGTCACGCAGTCCTCCCGAAGCTGATCAAGTTAAGTAATGTGGAGCTCCTGGGGTAGAAAGCCGTTATGGCGTTCTGTGCCCCCGCAACGGCTTTAAAGCCCATTATAATGGGGGCGGCATAGAACGCCGTAACGGTGTTAAGGGTTTAAACGTAACTCTTTAAAACTAAATACACACAGTATTTAAATACAGTGTGATATCGCAGGATTAATAAATAATCTGTTAAGACATTATAGAAAGTTTAGCCCAGCTGAAGCCATCATCTGCAGAGCATTGGATTGGAGATTTAGCTCTATGGACAAAATGTAGCTTATACTCACATGGCTCTAGGTTCTGTAAATGGACCTTGGTTGTTGTCTAGGTTTGACATTAGGTCGCCCCCTGCTGCGTATTCCATGGCAAAATAGGCGTGATCTCGAGTGTGAAAACATCCAAATAAATTAATCAAAAATGGGTGCCGCCTAATGCTGACTGTTTGGAATATACTTTTCTCACTCAGAAGTCTGGAAAGGAAAATAAAAGTAATTTTTCTCCGACTCTCCAAAACCAAATGCAAATGACTAAAAATAAAGACTGAATCAGGACGTCGTCCTCCCAAACAAAAGATAGTAATTACTCTTCATTCACTGACCTGCTGAGCTGATGTGGTAATTCTATGTTTCCTTTTCTTATGACCTTCAGAGCGTACATCTTGGTTGTATCCTTATGTTCAGCCAGCAGAACCTGAAATTAAAGAATAAAATATTGTGCTGTACTGTATGTGTTACGACAACTTTTATGTCGTACTAGAACTGGAATTCCACTTAGACTTACTTTCCCAAAATGGCCTTTACCCAGCACAGAGTAAAGCTGAAAGTCCTGTATTCTGAGAGCAAGCCGATCCGGAATACACACAGCAGGTAAGAAGTCATATGGTAGGTCCTCAGAATTTTCAGGGAAACTATAATCCAGACTGGAACAATGAAGCTCACTCATGTCATCTGGTGTCATAATGGAGCCGTTATTGCTATCTCCAGAATCCTAGAAAAGAAAGCCATACATAATAAAAGTCGGGTTTTATAAATAATTTAGTATTGACGAGGGATCTTTTACTCTCTTAAATATTTAGAATGTAAAAAGGATAACTGTGCCTTTTTATTCTATTCTCCACTGGTGATATTTTAGGGGTGTTTAATGGAGTATATTAGAGCTGGATTCCACTTTAAACTTACTTTCCCAAATTGCCCTACACCCGGCACAGAGCAATGCTGGAAGTCCTGCATTCCGAGATGTAAGTAGTCACATGGTATGTCCTCCGAAAATTCAGAAATGCTGTTATCCAGACTGGAACAATTAGGCTCACTCAAACTGTCTACTGCCATAATGGAGCTGCCATCACTGTTAAATCCATAGCTATCTCTGGAATCCTAGAAAAGAAGGCCATACACAATAAAAGTCAGGTGTTATGGCACCTGTAAGAGTTGAAATTTCAAGAATCGGGAGCGGTCAGGGACAATAAAGGTACTGGAAGGTGAAGAAAAAAAAATGAAGTCTGAGTTTCTTCTTTGAGAGACCGGAAATAGTCCAGCAAGGACCAGGCTCACCATCTGGCAGCTTCATCGTGATCCCAAGTTGACCATTCTACAGTCGAAAGACTGTAGTGATATTTTTGGGATGTTTAATGGAGTGTATTAGAGCTAGAATTCCACCTTAAACTTACTTTCCCAAATTGTCTTTCACCCAGCACTGAGCAATGCTGGAAGTCCTGCATTCCGAGATGTAAGTAGTCACATGGTATGTCCTCAGATAATTCAGGAATGCTGTTATCCAGACTGGAACAATTAGGCTCACTCAAACTGTCTACTGCCATAATGGAGCTGCCATCACTGTTAAATCCATAGCTATCTCTGGAATCCTAGAAAAGAAGGCCATACACAATAAAAGTCAGGTGTTATGGCACCTGTAAGAGTTGAAATTTCAAGAATCGGGAGCAGTCAGGGACAATAAAGGTACTGGAAGGTGAAGAAAAAAAATTGAAGTCTGAGTTTCTTCTTTGAGAGACCGGAAATAGTCCAGCAAGGACCAGGCTCACCATCTGGCAGCTTCATCGTGATCCCAAGTTGACCATTCTACAGTCGAAAGACTGTAGTGATATTTTTGGGATGTTTAATGGAGTGTATTAGAGCTAGAATTCCACCTTAAACTTACTTTCCCAAATTGTCTTTCACCCAGCACTGAGCAATGCTGGAAGTCCTGCATTCCGAGATGTAAGTAGTCACATGGTATGTCCTCAGATAATTCAGGAATGCTGTTATCCAGACTGGAACAATTAGGCTCACTCAAACTGTCTACTGCCTTAATGGAGCTGCCATCGCTGTTTAATCCATAGCTATCTCTAGAATCCTAGAAAAGAAAGCCATATGCAATAAAAGTCAGGTTTTATGAGACCTGTAAGAGTTGCAGTTTTCTCTTTAAGAAAATTACTAGTTTCACTAGCACACAAACTAAAGATATGTCTCTTTCTTTCAAGAAATATCAAGAATCAGGAAAGGTCATAGACAATAAAAGTACTGGAAGGCCAAGAAACATTTTTAAAATCTAACGAGACGTGTCTGAGTTTCTTGTTTGAGAGACCCGAAATAGTCCAGCAAGGACCTGGCTCAGCATCTCACAGCTTCATCGTGATGCCAAGTTGACCATACTACAGTCGAAAGAAGCTTGATCAGGAATGGACTTTGAGGATGGGTATACATCCTAATGTTTGCATTTCTTAGCCTTTTCACCCGGTTCCCCTTTCGAAAAAGTGGTTTCTTGACCATTCTACAGTCTGAAGAACCTTGATCTGGAATGGTCTTTGTGCAAGGGTATACATCCTAATCTTTGCATTTCTTAGCCTTTTCACCCTGTTCCTCTTGGTTTCTTGGCTGCTACACTTCCGCAAAGACCATTCCTGATGAAACTTCTTCGGACTCTAGAATGGTATATTTGGCATCCTGGTAAAGCTGTTTATTGTTATCAGTACTATTCTATGTGTCCTTTTTTGAAACTTTTGTTAATTTTTTTTGTGTTTATTTAGTATTGACGATTTTGAGGGATCTTTTACTCTCTTAAATCTTTAGAATGTAAAAAGGATTACTGTGCCTTTTTATCCTATTTTCCACTGGTAATATTTTTGGGGTGTTTAATGGAGTATATTAGAGCTGGATTCCACTTAAAACTTACTTTGCCAAATTGCCCTTCTCCCGGGACAGAGCAATGCTGGAAGTCCTGCATTCCGAGATGTAAGTAGTCGCATGGTATGTCCTCAGAAAATTCAGGAATGCTGTTATCCAGACTGGAGCAATTAGGCTCACTCAAACTATCTACTACCATAATGGAGCTGCCATCACTGTTTAATCCATAGCTATCTCTGGAATCCTAGAAAAGAAAGCCATACGCAATTAAAGTCAGGTTTTCTGAGCCCTGTAAGAGTTGCAGTTTTCTCTTTAAGAAAATTAGTAGTTTCACTAGTTTTTTTCTTTCAAGAAATTTCAAGAATCGGGAGCGGTCATGTACAATAAAAGTACTGGAAGGTGAAGAAAAAAATTAAAGTCTGATGAGAAGTGTCTGAGTTTCTTCTTTCAGAGACCGGAAATAGTCCAGCAAGGACCTGGCTCAGCATCTGGCAGCTTCATTGTTATGCCAAGTTGACCATTCTACAGTTGAAAGAAGCTTGATCAGGAATGGTCTTTGTGGAAGGGTATATATCCCAATCTTTGCCTATTCAACCCTTTTCACCCTGCCCCCCTTCCAAAAAAGTGGTTTCCTGGCTGCTACCCTTCTGCAAAGACCATTCCTGATCAAACTTCTGCGTACTGTAGAATGGTCAACTTGGCATCCTGCTAAAGCTGTTTATTGTTATCAGTACTATTCTGTGCCCCTTTTTTTTTGTATTTTTGTAGAAAGTTTTTTCGTGTTTATTTAATATTGACAATTTGGTGTAATTTTTTACTCTCTTAAATCTTTAGAATGTAAAAAGGATAACTGTGCCTTTTTATTCTATTTTCCACTGGTGATATTTTTGGGGTGTTTAATGGAGTATATTAGAGCTGGAATTCCACCTTAAACTTACTTTCCCAAATTGCTCTTCACCCAGCACAGAGCAATGCTGGAAGTCCTGCATTCCGAGATGTGAGGAGTCACATGTTATATCCTCAGAAAATTCAGGAACGCTGTTATCCAGACTGGAACAATTAGGCTCACTCAAATTGTCTACTGCCATAATGGAGCTGCTATTATTGTTAAAGGACCACTATAGTGCCAGGAAAACATACTTGTTTTCCTGGCACTATAGTGCCCTGAGGGTGCCCCCACCCTCAGGGTCCCCCTCCCGCCCGGCTCTGGAAAGGGGAAAGGGGTAATAACTTACCTTTTTCCAGTTCAAGAATTGGGAGCGGTCATGTACAATAAAAATACTGGAAGGTGAAGAAAAAAATTAAAGTCTGATAAGAAGTGTCTGAGTTTCTTCTTTCAGAGACCGGAAATAGTCCAGCAAGGACCTGGCTCAGCATCTGGCAGCTTCATCGTGATGCCAAGTTGACCATTCTACAGTCAAAAGAAGCTTGATCAGGAATGGTCTTTGTGGAAGGGTATATATCCCAATCTTTGCCTATTCAACCCTTTTCACCCTGCCCCCCTTCCAAAAAAGTGGTTTCCTGGCTGCTACCCTTCTGCAAAGACCATTCCTGATCAAACTTCTGCGTACTGTAGAATGGTCAACTTGGCATCCTGCTAAAGCTGTTTATTGTTATCAGTACTATTCTGTGCCCCTTTTTTTTTTGTATTTTTGTAGAAAGTTTTTTCGTGTTTATTTAATATTGACAATTTGGTGTAATTTTTTACTCTCTTAAATCTTTAGAATGTAAAAAGGATAACTGTGCCTTTTTATTCTATTTTCCACTGGTGATATTTTTGGGGTGTTTAATGGAGTATATTAGAGCTGGAATTCCACCTTAAACTTACTTTCCCAAATTGCTCTTCACCCAGCACAGAGCAATGCTGGAAGTCCTGCATTCCGAGATGTGAGGAGTCACATGTTATATCCTCAGAAAATTCAGGAACGCTGTTATCCAGACTGGAACAATTAGGCTCACTCAAATTGTCTACTGCCATAATGGAGCTGCTATTATTGTTAAAGGACCACTATAGTGCCAGGAAAACATACTTGTTTTCCTGGCACTATAGTGCCCTGAGGGTGCCCCCACCCTCAGGGTCCCCCTCCCGCCCGGCTCTGGAAGGGGAAAGGGGTTAAAACTTACCTTTTTCCAGCGCTGG